GGTCAAAGACCTGACAAAAAACAAAACAACAACAACAAATAATCATACAAAACATTTCAAAACAAAAACACATGCTTCAAATAATTATACACAAAAAATATATACACCAGAGTTGATATCTTTCTTCGTTGCTTTTTTCGTTATTTCAGTGCGCCTTATCCTAACTATTTCACTTTTGATGCAAAGGTTATTATTATTATTTATTAGGTTGTTTCCGTTCATTTATAGTTACAAAATAGCTTGAAGTGAACTATTTTGCTTCTAAAATTAAACAGTTAAAAACGAATTTACCATATTAACAAATGCTCTTTTGACTTCATTTAAGGTATGACCACCTTAATTGGCACCATAAATAACTGAAAACAAATGACAACATAGGTCAGTTATATTCCTTAATGAACATCTGCCTGCAAATTTGATTGTATAGTTTACGAGTTATTTACACTTTCTAAAAAAACAAAAGCTTGGATAATAGAAGGGGAAATACTGTAACCCAACGAATATTCGCGACCAATTAATATTCGCTTTATTCGCGGATAGCCACGAAGCGCGAATATTTGTTTGCGCGAATATGTCCGCACGATTTCGCGAATGTATTGGAGAGACCGGATATATTCGAATTTTACGGGCACCTGTTAGGAAGTAATGAATTGTTATGAATATTGCCATAAAGCAATAAAAACACAAACTAAGTGAACGACTACTATTTTATAAATATCAAAAGAACTCTATGTCAATATAGCAATCAAAATAAACGAACATGTACATGTACATATATAGAGAAAATGTTTTGCTGAATTGTGATCACAATTCATTTACCAATACAATATAAGGCTAGCGTATTGTTAATCCCATTTGAGACACCAATAATGACCTCAATTATTGAAGATTAATAATCGGCATATGGATTTTACGGCCCCATCGGACTTTCCAATCCGCGAATAGTTTTTTTTTTCGGAAATCAAGAAAACGCGGAAATTAATACGTCCGACCTCGGCAAAACGCGAAAATTTGTATTCGCGAATATAAATTTGGTTACAGTACTAGAACTATTTATAATAATCTATAATATCATCCCAATGGGAATGTTATCCTATTTAGAATTGTTAAATGACAATCTTAAATAAAATTTTATAATAATCGTCTTGAGCAAAAGATTGTTTGTTTTTTTCTCAAAATGATTTAAATATGTATAAAACTGTTAGCCTACACCACCCTTTTTAACACTTTGTGTTACCATTTTCCTGCTAAGACATCCTGATTTAAAATATCCCTATAATTTACCCAATTTAGGGGCTGTTTTCAAAGTTTGCTTAATTTTCTTTTCAGCAGTACGATGATTGATATTGTCAAATCTTGATTAGCTTCAATTAGCCAAAAATACGTATAATGATTGTGTAATCAACGAATAAACAATGCTCATGACCCTCAGTTGAACACAGTTGATTGTATGGTATGGTATGGATACAGGCCCACTACAAAGACACAATCATAATTAAATCAAAATAAAATACAATGTCAGCATATCTTTACATAAAAAACAACTGATAGCAGTATTCGAATTATGTGCAAAGTCAGCACATAATTTTTAAATCTTTATTGAACAAATAAGAATCAAATTACATTCAGAACAATGTAAAATCAGTTAAGACAAGCTATATTAAAGTTTAAACGGACAACTTGCATATTACATCGGAACCGCATGAAAGCTACAATGCAGCTAGTTAACGGACCGTGTCTTTTTAATATTATTCTTTAGTTTGTTACAAACCATAGACATTAATGCATTCAGAAGTAACCTAGCTAGTTTGAACAAAATAATAGTTTTAAATAGAATTATTGAACATTTGATATTAATCTGATTTTTATTCGAACAAAAAATGATAATGAATCGTCTAGTTTCAGTTAATTAAGTTTGTATATAACACTGTAATTAGTAATAAAGATATAAATTTAATTTTATCGCAAAACGAGTCGCACAAACAACGAATGGTTGTATGTAAAAGTACAAATATAATTAGAATAAAAACTATTTTCGTTTTGCAGCTATAAATTGGATGAAAACATCCAGGGAGTTAAATTTGAGGACTTGGGTGCATTTTTTTAAAAGGACTGATATAAAAAAAAACAATAGACATAGTTTATCGTCATATATAAATATAAATGTTATAATGAAATTTTGAGATGTTTATAAACATACTTCAAAAGCAGCATCAGCAGCATCAGCAGAAAAAACATACATCAATAGCATCAGCATCAGCAGCGTCAGCAGAAAAACATACTTCAATAGCACCAGCATCAGCAGCGTCAGCAGAAAAACATACTTCAATAGCATCAGAATCAGCAGCATCAGCAGAAAAACATACTTCAATAGCATCAGCAGAAGCAGCATCAGCAGAAAAACATACTTCAATAGCCACAAAAGAAGCAGCAGCAACAACAACAAGAACAACAACATTTATAAAGCCGTGAAAGATTAACGGCATATTCATATTTAGCCATCCGCCTCTTATACAAACCCATAATCAGCTTTTACAAGTTTTAACTGAAAATATCAATATGCAACGTTGTGAGTTCAACAATCTAAATAAACCTGATAAACTTTTATCCGAAAGGAAATAAAGTTGTAATTAACTTGCGAGAAAAAAAAAACCCATACATTTTTGACCAATTTAATCGTTCTGTTGATTATCATCACTTATTGATGGTATAAGCTAAATTTTACAATATTAATTTTTGTTTTGAACTTATAATGATGGGATCTAAATATATATTGAAATATATATGTAAATATTCATGTGTATATGTATATGTATATTATATACTTTATACTTAATTTTTGCTATACATGCTTACATTCTTTGCCACATGTTTATAATATATGTTCTAAATAGTCAGATTTGTATATTTTTCTGTTATTTCCTGTGTCTGCAAACCTGTCACTGCCTCTTTTCCGCAATTGTCACAACGTTGTCGAGCCGTATCAATGATTTCAATGTGCTTTCGTACCTCCGGAGATTGGGCTATCTTGTTTGGTTTAATCTTTTTAGAATTGCTTTGTTTTCGAAACTTGGAGACTAATTCTTGAAGATTAAATTTTTTGTTGTCAGCGTCTTGCATTGGGACATCAGAAGCTACAGACCCATTTGATATGTCTTTCGTTACAGATCTACGGGTCCACATCCTTCTTTTACTAGGTAGGTCTTTTCTTGATTTCTTGATATTCTCAAAATAATTGACTTTCTCAATTTTTCCTACTTTTTTACACAAGCACAAGGGCAGGAAGCTTTCGAGGAACAGAATGATAGACAATTTTTGCAGACGATAATGAACATCTGCGTTATTGTTTATCAGACCTGTGCAGGAGTTTGACATCATAGCTATAAGAGCATTCAAGTGAAGAATCGTTGTAAGGAGAACATAAAGAATAAAAACAAGTACTGCCAGAACTGGTTCCCGTGCCTGAAATAACACCCCAAGCTCACCGATACCAAGCATTATCGTTAACATTTTTACCATCGTTTTACCAATGTTGTCAAAGTCGTCGTCGTTCGTGTCTGCTCCCTGAATTATCATGAACATTGCAATGGAAAACGCTACAAGAAATATTATCATAACAACTGCAAACTTTAACATATCCAGTATAACCCTCTGAATAAGAACAGTGTAGAAACTAAATACCTTGTTTGCTTGAAGAAAGAATAACACAAGATACCAGCCGATTATTATGGCAAATATGAGACAGTAGTTTTCGTACCATGATATTTTATTTTGTCCAGCACTAGAAGCAAGTATACAGTCAAGAATCAGAAGGAGTGACATAATAACAAAGTATACCCGAAACATAAAATTCGAGTATGGTAGGCTGAAATTTTCTTTAAGCCTTTTCATAAAGTGTATCGATGTTTTTGTACGGAACCTTTTGATAAACTTGATGCGGGACTCCATTGAAATGAATATTAGGGCAAAAAACGCACCAAGAAATGAAACAGTTGTTACATAAACGTCCTTTGTCACACGATATTGATATGAAAAGTGAATTTCTCCATTACTTCCAAAAGATTTCTGGATTTGTGACCTCCTTACAGCGGCATAAGATAGAATGCCCATAAAAATAAAATAAACCAAGAACCAGATCCTAAAGGGCCAACTATAACACTTCCATTTTCTTTGATCACATCTTTCACTGGCGTTATGTTTGTGAATCGGGAAGCCTTGTCTGTTCTATGATGAAGAACATATTCTAAAATAGATAAATACAGAATCCCTAAAGAAAGCCCAACACAGCAAAATTGAAAATGTTGCAGGCTCGGTTTGATTGAGCCTGTTCATGGACGGTACTGGAAAGTGCAAGCTACCGTCCACGCCCCCTAGCACCGGCTTAAGCAGAATTCAACATTTAAACGTGAAATAGTAAAATTTTGAATTTAGAAACATCCGCAGATGTGTTCATACGGCGGTTATCATGGAACCTTCAATGTGACACTTCCGTGCCATTCCATGAAAAGCGGCGTATGGTTCCCAAGTAATAAAAAGCGTGTGCCCTTAACGAGAAAACAATGGGCGGAACTAAATAAAATGGAATTTTGAAAGGGGATCAGAGGTTATGAAGCCTGCGTATCACAGATAAGACGTCTAAAGACAAATTTAAAAATCAGGCAACATATCCTAAGGGTGATTCAACATTATTCATGTAGGAATATTGGAACCACCCAACTAGAAAATGCCGAAAAGTTGAAACTAAAAATACCACAAGCACAACAATAATGTCGTGCTGAACGATCTTCAACGATCGAAAATATAACATCATTGATTAAATGTACGGGGAGACTTTTTACAGCCGCCACACGGCACAAATAACACGGATGTGATCATAAAATAGATAAATACAGAATCCCTAAAGAAAGCCCAACACAGCAAAATTGAAAATGTTGCAGGCTCGGTTTGATTGAGCCTGTTCATGGACGGTACTGGAAAGTGCAAGCTACCGTCCACGCCCCCTAGCGAAGACGAATTCGTAAGACGAATTCATGATGCTCGGTCTTAAAATCCTCTTGATCTGTTCCTTTGACTCCGTCTTTCAATGCAAGCGTTTCTATTTCAGTGATGTCGTATTTCTGATGATGGAAGAGACTGTCGTTTGTATGCTTTGGAATGTAGATCTGAAAAAAGAGAGTTTAAGTTTAGGTACATTAAAACTGAATAAACATAGTCAAAGTTCGTTTATGAAACATAAAGAAATATTGTTCTTGAATTGTTTAATTCTTCAAGTACACTGTTTAAGTCCCGTTTATATTGACATAACCTAATTTATTCCTGCATGAGGCAAACAAATCATACAGATCTGGTAAATATTACAACACGCTTGTACGTACTGAACCTTAAAGTGTGAATACTGGTCAACAACTATGATACTGCATATAAACAAATCGCACTATAACTTAATTACTATTATAAAGCGATGTTAAACCAAATACAGCAGCATGTAGTAAGATACATATAAACGAGGGATGATCCAGAATAACCGGAATTGAGCCATAAATTAAATAATTTTAATACAAAATCATAAAACATACAAAAATTATAACAAATTATTGCCACTACATACATATTTTTAGAAGCAAACAAAATAGTGCGCATACGGCGCTATCTGAACGTTGTTGCAATATCATAAGCCGTGACGTTTAACATTCTAAAATGTTTTCAAAAGATTTGCCGCTGTACGAAATATAAGGTCAATATCTTATAACCCATTAAGTGAATAATTATAATCTGATATAGCCATAAAGACTGCTTTTGTTAGACAATTCCGGATGTATTCACCGACAGTGTGCTAGCAACACAATCCTATGTTTCTGAATTATTGTGAGGGTTAGGTTTTTGTGGAAATAGAAAAATCATACGCATATAAAGTTGAAGGCATAAAATATGTTTCATTTCTTTACATCATTTTATCAAATGAAGGAACAACTGATGCTGAAAAAAACAACAGGTGCACGCATGTATGTAAATGTACGAATATAAATGAATAAATCAATCCTGAAGGCAATATATATATATATATACTATAATTTTGTCTGTAAGCATTGAAGAAAACAAAATATTGTTCACACCAAATAAAACGTTGTAGTTTTCGTTTACCATAGCGAAGCAACATTCAATCATTTTAAGAATACTTTTCGGATAATATTACATAAATTGAATACTTAAAATAAATCTTAATATATGCGATAAATCAATTACAATTTTATAACAAAACGTCATTTAAATGTCTGACAACACATTGTCGTTTTCAAGATTCACTGCAACGTCATGTGCATTCTTTTATACCACAAAGTACTCGTATTATCTTTTAGATTAGTCCATCTTCCTAAAAACTCGTCTATACCGCTCGACAAATATTTTTAACTCATAAAATACACATGACTGGTTTCTATTGTCATATTAGATTGTTTCTGAAGGATATCATCCAAACTATTAACAAATGGTTAACGTTAATCGGGTTTAACGCCAAGCTCCCGCAATTTTAGACAAAATGCTTTTTTCAACCAAGCACTTTTAAAAAGTGTAATATTTAACTTTAACACACAGCGCGTTCTTTGACCTATGCCGCTGTGGCGTTCCCAGGTTTATTTAAGGTGGTCTGAGACGGTACTGGGTGCCATTAAATCAATAATTTTTTGATAATTAAATAGATGAAACATTTAATTTTACGCAGGTACAAATTTAATGAGGACAACATGTAAATCATCAGAGTTATAAAAAAATTCCGTCTAATTTCGGATAATCCCGAAATCTAAAAGTTAAAACATAAATTTGATCTTAATATCTATCTCATTTTTTGTTTAATGGCTCCAAAAAAGATTATAATCAAGTGAGCACACAACCCCTGACTCGAACCACCAACTGTTTGTAAACATGGCGAAACTTCTACTTTTTTGCCACTAAAAAATAAAAAGTCTCCGCGTATTGCAAATCAATAGTTGTTCTTCCACTTTGATTTAGAATACACGTGTTTGTTTGTTTGTGTCCAGATCATCGACATGTGTTTTCCTGAACATTGATTTTTGAATTAATCTCAGATCATTAACAAAATAAATTCTTTAGCGATATCACATAGCATTTGTGTATTTGTATTTCAGAGCTAAATTTGACATTCCCGGGCAACCACGTTTTTAACAAATTAACGTGCAAGCGGCACTGTTTTTGTACTTTAACGGAATTCAGTGAACTACGTTTTTTTTGTATAAAATGAGACGAATTAAAGGTTCGTCGACTATAAAATACTTTGGGGAATTATATCAGTCTCTTATTTTTTTAAGGTATAGGCTTTACTTTTGCATTGATAATGATTAATTTATGATTATTGTGCAGTCACTACAAACATGAGACATTTGTACGTTGTTATTCATTTCATAGAATGACAGAATTTATGCTTAATTAAAGAAATATAATATTTATAAATATCATGAGATTAATTTAAATATTAAGATCTTAACTGATTAACGTTATCCAAATGCATTTATCAAATAATTCAGCATTATCTAAGAATATAGGTAATGTTCATTTTGCCATTCATAGAAAAATCTTGATTTATACCTCATGTTGCAAAACTACTTCAAATATTTCAAACTGTTGCCTCTTGGCTGCCAGTTGCAATGGTGTTAGCTCCTCTTTGTTCTTCTTCAACAACACCTCTTTAATCTGGTTTCTATAGTCTTCATAATGTTCCTGAAGCTGTTGGCGTACTGCTGAATCGCTCATCTCATTTTTCTTTGATCTTTCTTTTTCGAATTTACAATCTATGATATTTCTGAGCATCTCAAGTATTGTTTCTAACTTATTTGGTTCAACATGAGCATATTTTATCATGGAATGTATAAGAGTATCGCCCTTCTTATTGACACGATCTAACTTATTGTCAAAGTCAAATCCTTTCTAAATGCGCATAAAGTTGCACAATGTCAGACTCAGAAGAACAACTACATTCTTTTGTATTCATTTTGAAAAGTACAAAAATGTGTATCAAGTATTTTATATCCAGTCAAATGTTAGAAAGCTTCCTTTCCTTTTTGTTATTAACAATACACACTTTGATATTGTTTATTATTTAGATAGCTTTAACACAGATTACAATTATTTACCAAATCGAATTTAACTTCCCTTGCGATTTATATACCCTACGCTTCAGTCTTGCGAATGTCTAACTAAAAATCATTTTTGGCTGTACATTTATATACGCTTTAAATTGCCTACAAGTCAATTGTATTAAGTCTTACGGCTCTTATACAAAAAACAGGAAACTGTTAAAGCTTTAATATCCAATCATACACCAAAAAACGTTGGTTATTCTTCCATATGTTTAAACATTACCTATCCGATGTTTCAAAACTACATAATTGTATCTACGTATATATAAGTCCGATGATATTGATTGCAGACGCCTTGATATATTTATAAAATTACCGGTGGAGCCACAAAGGAACACGCATTAAGATTTAAAAAGTGAAATTTTGTAAAAAAAAAAGAACAGCTACTTGTTCTTGTAGAACATTTGTAGTTTAACAAATTATGATGAAGAGATCATTACATTTCACTGGCATGATATCATGTTATTTATCCTTTTTCACAATATTATGGTGATGATGAAATATTAAACAATAATGTTGGATTTATTTGTTGATAAATGCATTTTCATCTTGTGTGATTTTGCTATACAAATGCTATAATTAGTTACAGGTTCTATCCAGAAAATTGCATTTACACAAGAAAAGTAATGGTGTTCTATTGTGAAACCGTTATCGAGGATGAGTTTCATTTTGTTCTTATATGTCCTCTTTATTCTGAAATCAGGGGAAAATTCATACCATCAATGTTTATTAATAATCCTACTTTGGATACAAATTACAGGCTGATGTCATGTGACAGTACAAATGTTATTAGAAACTTAGCCATGTTTATTAATTACTCTTTTAAAAGAAGAGAAGACTTTGTGTCAGTGTTTTGATTTACATTGGGTTTATCATGTTCTCTCATTGCAGGTTTTTTTGTTTTTTTTGAGAATGAAGGCTTATGTATTTCTTATATTTTATGGAGGCGTACAAATGTTCATTAGATATTATACATTATAAGCAAAGTTCGATTCTGTTTAAGTATCAAGCATTATTAAATATCAGTTGATATTGTAAGCCTATTGAGAGGAATTTATGTGTTTTTATATCAATATATATTATGTTAGATTGGTATTATAAACTGAAATTTGTCATTGTTAATCCTCGACTTCATGCTTCTTATTAGATGTAAATTATAATGTTGTATATATATATGTATGGGCCGGAGGCCTGATTATGCAAAATAAATAAAACTGTTAAATTACTTGGAAAAAATAGTTAGCTTTACAATGACAGCATCATTATCATATTTAAACGCGACAATGACCCTAAAAATCAAATATCTTAATATATATTAGAAACTAAAATTAAAGAGAAAACAGTTTCCATATAATGTGCTTTTGTTAAGTGATACATGAAAACATAAAACATTTTGGTTCTACTGCTCAAACTCCTTTAAGTGATCAAAATTATGACGGTATGATATGGTCTTAACATGACATAAAAGAAGAATGTATTTGGATTTAATTGATTTACATTCTGAAGAGTATGACAATGTTTAAAAGTTGCATTAGAGGAAAACAATTCCTCATAGAGTCATTGAATGAATTCTGGCTAGCTAAACATAATGTTAAAATGATTCACGTTGTATCTTAATTAAAAGACGTACTAGCATCACAGATCATGAGTTTGACTTTTAAATGATATGTTAATGGTCAAATCCTTTCATAAAAAGAAAATTATGCGATTGTGTTATTTTTGGATATCAGTCGGCAGTATCAACTGTGGTTGTTTACGTAATCTTCTTTAATACCCAGTCACTGATAAATTCTGGTAAAATTGACAGAGGGCGGAATATATAGTTGGCATCAAACCCGATAAGGTACCTGTAAAATAAATAAACATAAACATTTGACTGGTAAACAATTAAAGTATAAAAGTAAACAATATTTGGTGAAATTAGCTCTTATTTAAACTATTCAAACATCGTTAAAATGTATTGCAACTGTAACAAAACATCGTTTTTACAGTTGAAGGTTTAACCTGATAACTATTCACTTCAATGTAAGATGGTTTACTGGAGATGAATGTTAGACTGATTATATTAACTAAATGGTGCCGACGTTTAGATCCATTGTTAAACATACATACATATTATCTCACGTTTTCTCTATAGCTTATTTTAGTTCAAATACAAAATTTAATGCAGAAATGTATCATTTGGATATATTCTTATGACATATTTCTTGAACACAAACATGCTTTTAGAGTTCTAGGTGTTACACTGTTAAGATTAATAACATGATTAAAATTTAGTTTTATTTGTCGCCGGTAGAAACCGGCAACTATATTTTGTAACAGTTTTATATTATATCTATGGTAGAAGAAGGCCTTAAAATCTGAAAATAAAAGCAAATCAATAATTGAATATAATTAAGGACGTCAATTATTTTTCATAATCTTAAAAATTCAAACATATAATAACGTTGCTTTATGAAATGAACTATACAAATATTGACATCTTAAAAGCAACATTACATTTTTTATAAAATGAATTAATAATGTATCCCGATGGACCAGCCGTTGAATTAATGGGTACTCTTACTTTTTTGTAAGTGTCAAATAAATAATGAATGATACTTGAAATAACACTTTTAAATTATTTGGTTGTTTATATTTTATGAGATCTTTTCATTTTTATTATTGTATTTAATTACATGTATAAACAATTTCTCTCTGTTCTTTTGTAAGAATCACGTGACTACACGTTGTATGTTATTGTTATGAAATATATTAATAGTACAACTGCTGATAACTTGTGAATGGTATGGCTGCTTATAAAATTCAAATCATAGTAACTTTGTATAAATAATTACAAAGTCATTTTTCATTTATCATTCTTTCTTGGTAAAGGGTTAAACATAGCCCTTTCTGGCAAGAATGTTCAATAATTTAGTTTAGGTTGAACATCACAAAATAAATTTATGCTAAGGAGGCACATAAAATTGATATAAATAGTGGTAATCTATTCGGTCGATTTCCGTCGCGCAGGTTTCCAAAACGGTATGACGGTAGGGGGAAAATACCTGGATCCGGAATTGTATTAGATACATAAAGAAAACTAATAAAATATCGTTGTGTTACTGAAAAGCAATTAAACGTTAACTATATCGTATGTAACGACGGGAATATTGCTTTCAACTAAATTATTATATTTTTTCGATAGCGCATAAGAATATTTTTTTTTCATGCAGACACCACTTTTACGGTAGAGTTGCATTGTTTCGTGCAGCAATAATTAAAACATATATATGTTCATACTCACTTTGCAAATATTTGATGAATGGTAATAGTTTGTCGGTAATTATCGGATTCTGAAGTAAACCATACGGATTTCGATGTATGGTACAACGGTATGTGTAAGAGTAGAATTACAAGTAAAATTACAAGCATATCACTTGCCTTACAAAATTAATCAAAATTATGAAATTAAGAAATAAAGCTAGAAATGAAACTCACGATTTATAAACTTATGTTTTATATATTTAAAAGAATTAATTATAAAGTGTCCCTTTAAAAGGATAGGATTGCCTAGTTGTGCATCACTCAACCCTTTTTTTATTTTTTTTTAAAAACCTCCTAAATCAACTCTTTATGATAAAGAAATAATTATAAAAAAATAATAATAAATTGACCTTATATACCAGTAAAAAACAAGGTACTAGCTATGTTTTTACAGGTATAGAGGGTCAATTTATTATCACTATTTTTTAATTATTTGTATATCATAAAGGGTTTATTTAAGATTAAAAAAAATGTTTCACTTTTAAAGGGGTAGGTTGGGTAACCCCAAGACTGGACGAGCACTGTGCCCATTTGTTCCACCAGTGTAATGCATGCAAATTTGGACAAAAGAAGGACGGAACATGCTGACGTAACAATAACACTATTTTTTTGTGAAAAACGAATACTTTTTTTATTGTCAAAACGATTTGAAATAGTATAAAACTAATAAAGAAATAATCAATCATAAAAATACAAACACTGGCTCTCCCACGTGGAGGAAATAAAAATATCAATCTACTATCACTTTTTTTTCGCAGAAAGAGTTATTCGTTTTGGCAGTTTCAATTTAAATTTCATTTAAATAGCACCTTTATAGACAAGTAAATGCACTAAAAGACTTCGTTACGTGGTACCAATTAATATGCATGTATCAACTATGTTACACCTAAAATATCTATGTCACTTGTCTATTGATCACAGATATACCGACAACACAGGATGCGCTATCTGTAGATCAACACGTGGTAAGGTTAATGATATGCATGGGCTATTTTTAGATAATCGATCACCAAGACGTTATACTATTGTTTAAACTCCGCGTGAGAATTGCGTTTAAATATAAGACACAGTAGATCTAACTATAACTCGATCGCAGACAAATGTGATAGAGCTATGCAATTTTAACTTGTTCGCACTAATTCTCTGTGTGATTCGCTCACGATCTTTTGGTGAGTAGGACCCTCCTTTGGAGACGGAATTCTACTACAATAGCCATTCTTTATTGTATAAAACTAATAAAGACAAAATCAATCATAAAAGAAACTAATTTTTGCGTCTTGAAAACCATTTGAAACGAAACATTTTCGTTTATAATTTATTTCTTCCTTCTACCTACGCTTTAAACCGATAAAACACGTAAAAATAGAAATCCTATTTATAGAAACAAACTGGAATTACCGAAGTAACTAAAAATAGCTTAGATTTCCGTAATATTACTTCGTTTGATTCCGCAGTATGACGGAATCGCCCGAATTGTCACGATTGCAGCGGAAACCTAGACTGGTTTCTCGTTCCATCATGCACTTACAAATGTAAGCAGGAAACCACCTAACCGGAACAATTTTTCCAAAACAAATGGCTGTGGCCGCAAGCCAAAACAATATATATTTATGAAAACTACAAATGAATTGTCCAAGATTCGAATTTGCGTCTACTAGGCCACAGCATACTTACCACTAGGCCATCTAGCAGTATTAATTGATTTTAATATCGAGATCTATACTATCAATAAAATCTTTTAACATTAAAAGCATGCTTATTTAATAATGATAGCAGTTTCATGACAATATTGCTAAGCAAGTTTGCTTTAATTGTTAATAAACAGTTACTCAACATTTTGTTCCTATTTTCCTTCTACTTGAACCATTAAACTGATATGTTCTTACATATATGATAATACAATCACTTTTCTATCCGGCGATTTGATGTTTTAGCATCAAATCCTCTACTTGTTCTCTTTCTAGATCAATTAATTATCTGCTGTCATATTGGGCCATCTCAGACTTATCATCAAAATCCAATTGTTTGGGTATCACTTATGATTCTAAATACTATCAAGATAATTACTTATTATATAACAGATCTTCTGTTATGGATATAGTCACTTCAAGCTATTAAATGTTTTCTTGTGTATGTTTTTAATCAAAATAGATATGCAGACCATCATGAATCTCAAGATTATATTTACTACTAGAATACGAGCTGTGGATTATATCTCTTAGAAACAAAGAAACAGTATTTTGTAATTCTATATGGAATGGCTATACAATGCCTTATGGTCTTTTTATCTTTGATATATATGACTATATAAATATATTTGCATATATGAGACTATTATAGTAAAGAATAAAATCCAAATCAAATAAATGGCTTAAACCCATTAAAATTCTTAAAAAATTAATGTACCTTTTCCTTGGAAACCTTGATGTTATTGCATTTATGTATGCATCTACAACCTCATGCACATTTGAAGATGCCACTTTCTTTACTAATCTTTCAAATCCATCGCCCACTGTGAAATGCAAATTGAAACAAAATGTACTGGAACTATCTACTTTTTTAAAATTTTTGTTTATTTGTTCAAAACTACTAAATGAATATATAAAATCGAAACAAAATAATTATATAGCATGAGTTATATATATTAGTGTATTTGAAAGGTAAACATCTTCAAATATTAACAACACGTGCTTCAAAACTAATTTTTACCTACAAGAAATGAATATACAACATCATATATTAATCAAGTTTCTGTAGTTTACCCGATGTTAACAGGAAATTAACAGGCCTTCTATGAAAATTTGCTTTTCAGTCGTTTTAACGGCTAATTTATACTGGTTCGGTATGATATTGTAACTCTGTTATCAGACTTGGTTGTACAGTGTTAACACCCCTACTAATCAGCGGCTCTGACATTTTGGAGATATGTTTAAATGTGATCCGTCGACACTTCTGTTGTAAACCCATCGATCAAATTTTCAAATCCGTTTTTTTTTTCAAACATTTCAAAACATTTAAAATAAAATATGATGCAAACTTGAAACAAAAATATCCAAACAAACATACAAGCAAAGAATTATTATTCAGTCAACTACAGAAACATCTACATACGAGTAATTGTTAAAATTTGATATACTTAGTGTAACTAAATTGACAGGTAGTGTCTCTTTGATGTCCTTCGGTAAATTTGTTATCTTGGTTTCCACTTTTCTTTCAAATAATTCTCTGTCCAATAGAGCTGTTCTATAAAATCCGGGTTCTATAATGTGTACGCTTACATCCGATCCATACATCTCTTGTCTGAAATGTAAATTATTGTACCTTTCCTTGTCTTATATTTGCAAATTAACTAAATAGTCTTCTATTACAGAAATATTAAAGTCATAAATGCATACCAACATACACGAAACTGTAAAAACAAAGCCATCAAAATGCCTTTGACATACCCTTTTAATAATCAAATATGTCCCGTCAAATGTGATTAGGAACGTTAGGCTATTAAAGTGTCATAATACACATTGTGTTTTTGTCAGGTTCAGATGAATTTACTATATATTTCACAAAATGGCTTTAATATAATCGCTATTGGCCCATAATTGATACTAAATAAAGGTTTAAGATGAAATATTAAAACGACTTAAGATATAAAAAGACTGTCCCACTTTTTCCAAAGATTAAACATTCAATCCGAAAGATATTTTTAGATTTTAAGTCAAATTAGTTATGAATATACATATGAAGTTGAATGATACATTCAAAACAAATATGGCAAAAATGTGAAGTTATTTCGACTTTTACCGGAACACTTACTATTTACAGGATAATATTTGAACTGTTACTCCAAAACCTATGTATGATAATATTAAAGATGATGTTAATAAGTATAACCTACATTGTAATAACGTTTTCATATTTAAGTTTACTTTTAATATAATGGCATTATTCAGTAAGGTTGCTTATACAATATTTGTATTTAGTTATTAAAACGAAATAATTGTAGACTTTGACACTAAGGCGGTTATCCTTATATAGTCATGCATATTTCTGTATCGTAAAGTGTAGAATTTGCGTGATATTTGGTATTCTTTTATTATGAAATTTAGAATACTTCTTGAAAATAGTAATTCCTTAACCGTATTTTAGACTACTACTCATGGCATGAAGATCTTTATAAATAGGGTGATGCTAAATGTTTTAATGTATTACTGTAAAATGATAATAAATTAAAATCTAAAGGGAGGTAATATAATGATATGCATTAAATATTTTGAACAAGTATATCTTCTACATATTTTAAAGCTTCTATTTGCAAATGTTAAACGCAGGTGTTTGTGATGGTTGGTTGCTCCCTTATTGATAAGTTTTAACATTTTCGTGTATTGTGACATTTTTTGGATACGTTATCTACCATTAAATTACTTTCATATTCCGTATTATACTTTTTTGAAAGTTTTTATTTTCTGTACATTAATTATTAAGGAGATGAATTTAAATAAATTTCTCCCTCACTCATGCATTAAGTAACATTACATTTCTTTTTCACCACTTGAGAGCATACGAAAGAAAGATATGACATGTGATTGTATGGTTTAATGTGATGTCAAATCTTATTGATGTTTGCTTAAAATGTGAAATGACTTTATATACTACGTTTTATAAATAGAGAACATTAGTTACACAGAAAATGTTACTTGTGTTATTCACCACTCCACACCCTTGAAATTGACAGAGGCACCTTACCTCTACAGGTAAAAGATTGAAATATGGGGATTAAGTTTCATATTTGTAGAAATTGCATTAATATAGTGTTAAGAGTTTAAATAAATTCTATTCTGCAAGTGAATAAAGTCACAAACCTAAGGACATCTGAGAAAGCCTCCACGCCATATTTAGAAATACAGTAGGATGCGCTGACAAAGGCAATTCTTCCCAGGACGCTGGCTGTGTTAATGATTCTACCTTTTCCTTTTTGAACCAGCGGCATAAATGTCTTGGTTACCATGATGACACCGTAAAGATTTACTGACATTGTTTTTTCATAGTCTTCTCGTGTTTGCCATGATGTTGGGCCAACACTGCCAATAATCCCAGCGTTATTTACGACTGCCCACAAACCTATTTCACAATCGCAATATATATCAGTTACTAAATATCTTATTTAAATGCATATACCAATTGGTGTCCTAGTACAAGGTATAAAAATATACATAATGATAATTTAACTCGTGCTCTTTTGAACATTTAAGCAAATTCATTTCAGCTATATTACCAATTTAGGTAAAATATAGGAACACCTTGAAGTAACATGAAAACTTTTTTGAATTATTCATGTTTTGAGTTACATCTTGTCTGCAGGTGTTTGAAACACCAATATCATAGTATAATTAATTATTTAATAAACAATACTTGGCGCTTGATTCATTACTATGATTAAAGTAAGATTTAAGTAAGATTGTACCTTGGTCTGGCTTAAGCTTCTTTTTGACGAGGCCTGCTACTGCATTTATATTGTCATCGTTTGATACATCTAGTTGAACAGCGGTTACTTTTTCTGAACACTCGCTTCTTATGTTCTCAACTCCGGCCTTGGTTAGACATCCAGCAAACACATTGAAACCTAACAAGTCGAGTCTTTTGGTTAACAAATAGCCAAACCCTGAATCGCAACCTGTGACGAGTACATACCGGCCCTTATAATCGCTGATTTTGATTTTATTTAAAACTCTCATAAAAAGTTTAAGTGCAAGTAAAGTTAAAACTATTGATACTAAACTCCACAACATATTGCTTTTTTTTCAAAAAATAAAATCTGACCTACATTAGCGAGATAAAGCTTTAATATCCTGACAAGTCTAAATTTTAAACTTTTAAACACAGGTATATATATTTGTAATGTTAAACATCTGTATGTGTGTACACATTTAAGAAAGATAGAGTTAAAGATCCAGAGTGTCGTAAAAACTTTACTGATAACAGTTTTAAATGTTTATGTTAAAGGCACATTATGCCTCAGAAATGAATAAATATTAAATTCTTCAGAAAGGCCAGACAAGAGTTTTTAAACGTTTAAATAATTTGACTACCATACAAAATATTAAGTCACTATAAATGTACTAATTGACAAAAAGCAATAGAAGAAGAAGACGGTTAAGGTAACAAGCCATTCAGTACATTGATGGAAATTATAAAAAAAATACCAAAAATAAAGATTTTGAGAAATAAAATTGAAAGATTAAACAAGACTTACCTGTTGAAGTTTGATCTTAATTCAGTTGTGCCATTGACCAGGAATTATATGAGGTAACACGTGACCGCCAGACGCTTATCAGCCTCAGACTTCAAAGTGGAAAGTGTAGTCATGGAAATACTAATGCTAGGGTGGGAACAGAGTTCGGGTGGGCATATAATTCCTGGCCAATGGCACAACAGAATTAAGATCAAACTTCAACAGGTAAGTCTTGTTTAATCTTTCAATTCTGTTGTGCCCATTGGCCAATCAGAATTATATAGGGTTTTAGAGACCATGTCTACACTTGATATCATATCTTGTAAACACAAAGGAAATGTAATTGTTTTGTATATGTAATCTATTAAATTCTACTCTAGATCCAGTAATTATATATGCCCATTATAGTAATACAACATAATAAAACTATTTTTATAGTGAAATAACAATATGACAATAAACAATGTATGAAGTAATAGATCTGCATTTGTTGCAGTCAATCAATCAATAATCAATCAATCACTCTTTTTAAAAACTTAAAGTTTTTACTGTCCTAATTTTGATAAAAGAGCTTGTCCAAAATCACCAGAACATTTTACTGGAATGTCATAAAATTTTCGAAATGTACTTTCTTTAGACCAACCAGCAGTTCTTAAGATAGTGTCAATTGGGATATGACCCTTTATTGTACTGCAAGCAGTTGATCTCACACTGTGGGCTCTGAATACGGTAATGTCTATCCCAGCATATTTAAGAATGTTTTTAATCCATCTAGCTATAGTTGATTTAGTTAAGCCTTATGAGGCTTTTGGACCCCTACAAAAAGTTGTGAGGATTTTCTAGTATTTTCTGTGTATTTAATATAAAAAATTAAACATTTTACAACACATAATATATCATTTTGATTAAAATACTTTATGAACATTTCATCTAAATGCCTATTTACACCAGACTGTTTTAATAGATCACCTATTCTAATTTTTACACCTTCGTCGTTAAATTCAATATTTCTCAAGTCTATAAAAATGAGTTTGGCACCGCTGTCCTGTTGTTAAAGCGATAAGAAGTGCCAACTTGCATGATAAAGACATCAAGTCTAAGTTCTCATTTTTCCCTAGTGAAACAATGTATTTTAGTACTTTTTGAACATCCCAAGTATTTTTATACCTAGGTAATGATGGTGCTTTTAAGAACAATGCTTTCAACAATCTTTTAACTAGATGATGCTTTCCTACCTGAATATCACTTGTTAACTCTAGTAAACTTTAAATTGCTGACCTTGCTATATTTAGACCACTATATTGTAATCCATTGTCATGCAGCTCTTTCAGGAAACACAAGACTTCTTTTATAAGTGGGTTAAATTTATCAGTTTTCCTTTCACGACAAAAGAGTACCCATTTTTTGTAATACGAAAAATATTGTGTAGATGTTGATGTTTTCCATGAAGCAAGGAGCAGGTCGATAACGTCTTCTGATAGTCCATCACTAAGGAGTTTTTTCCTGATATCAGGAAAGCACCCAGTTTCATGTGTTTCAGCGTATGTTGTTTTTCTGGAATCTTCGTGTTGACCAATGTATGATTTGTCAGTGGTAGTAGGTAGCTTGGCTTGCATATTATTTTAAGTAATCGCGGAAACCAAACCTGAGTTGTGAACACTGGTGCAATTAAAACTGCTGTTGCTTCTTCCCGGTCTATTTTCTGGAGAACTGCTGCGATCAAACTAAAAGGAGGGAAAACATACACACATTTAAAGTTATTCCAGTTAAGCGAAAAAGCATTGACTGCGAAAGCTCTCGAATCAGGGGTAAAAGAGGCATACTTGGGTAGTTTCGTATTGTCTTCAGATGCAAATAAGTCTATCTCACATGAAACATTGAATTTTTTAACAATTTTTAAGGAAATACAATCTGTAACAGACCATTCCATGTCAGTTGATTTTAATCTTGACAACTTGTCTGCTGTCACATTTTCTACTCCTGGTATATAAAACAGGGTAAGCCATATGTTCCGTTTTTCACACCATTTCCATATCTCTTGGGTCAAATCATTTAGCTCTCTAACACGCCACCCCTTTTTTGAAAGATATTTCATAGCAACAGTATTATCTAGAAACAAATGAATTTGTGTATGTTTACTCTTTGCTCACACAAAAATTGTAACACAAGAAAAGCCGCTTTAAGTTCTAAGTAGTTTATGTGGTGGCTCTTTTCATCTGTTGACCATAAGCCTGACACTTTAATGTTACTTGTTTTATCATACCCACCCCAACCCGATGTCGAGCTATCACTTTCTATTATCAGGTCTGGACCAGGTAAATTAATTGGTCTGAATGAATCATCAATGCTATCAATCCACCACTCTAAACATTTCTTACTGCTTTGTGACAACTTAATTTTTGCATCAAAATTTCCTCTATTGATTTTTAAAGCGGTATCTCTTTCAGTTTCCAAATGCTTATAACAGAGCCCCGCATAATGTACTCCTGGTTCGCTCGCGACCAATTTTCCTATTACTCTTGCAAATTCCCTTATAGTCATAGTTGTTTCCCTTAATGCTGAATGGCAACAACTCTTTATGCTTTCACATTTTTCTGGTGTCAGCTTTATGGTCATGTCCACTGAGTTCAGCCAAAATCCAACAAAACTTATACCTTGTGTAGGTTTTAATATTGATTTATCACTATGAATTGTAAAACCTAAGTTGTCTATCAGTTTCAATGTGTCTAAAATGTTCTCTTCACATTCATTATAAGTTTCAGAAGTTAAAAAACTGTCATCTATATAAATAGCATTGGCATGGCCAGTCTTCCGTAACGTTGAAAAAACTGGTTTCAGGGTCTTTGTAAATAATCGCGGCAAACATGAAAGACCGTTAGGAAGAGCTCTGAATTAATAGCATACACCTTTAAACAAAAATATCAGATATTTCCTATAATCTTTATGAACTAAAATACTATAATAAGCTTGTCTTAGATCAATGCTTGCAAACCAAGAGTTAGGCTTAATCATTGTCAACACATGTTTTTAAGTTTCCATTTTAAAGTGGTTTTTTTTTGTTACAAACTGATTTAATGGTTTCAGATTCAAGATAAGTCTATGAGTACCATCTTTCTTAGGTCTTAAGAAAATGTTCGATAATACTTGACAAGGTGACTGTTCAACTATTTCTATTACATTCTGGTGTAACAGTGAGCTTAACTGTTCTTCTATGATTCTTTGTTCTGATTCCGAAAACGTCATGCGAGGGGGTGTGCCTATCATATTTGGAATGTCAAACTTTTCGCAATCAAAGTCAATTTTACATCCATGTTTTACATTTCTTATAATCCATCGGTCTGATGTAATTTTGTACCATGTGGTCATATGGTTTGTAACATTACCGGCTGTGAATGATTCCCATTTGTTGTTCAAATTTTTACAAAGATATAAGTTACTTACATTCACTTCTTGTTCTTCTGGTACTGGCCCTGTCCCTGGGGTTTTTGCTTGTCCCTGTGAGACAGGCCCTGTCTGGATAAAAAATCATTGGCCACATGATAATGCTTATTGGTGTATTGGCGCTTGACTGGTGGTTGCCCCTGTGACTGATTATGATTGTAGGTGGTGTTGCTCGATGAATATGTATTTCTCGGCAATTCCTTTACGCCATATGTTCGTTTCTTGCCCAGTTTCTTCTCAAATTTGGCAATGTCTTTCCCCAACTTTTTCATGTCAGTGATCGATTTTACCCGCTCTGAGAGGTTATCCCCGAAGAGATGATTGGTAACTGGTGTTTTAGGTGCACAAAACTTTCCAAACTCTGGCTTTAGTGCTGGTTTTAATAATTTTCTACGATTATTTGTCAAGTCTCTATGTGCAAATGTCAGGAGCTCCACTGCCTCAAAGGCTTGATTAAACCATTTGGTACTTTCGTGCGAGTCACTTTCCAGCATAGAATCCATCATATTTATCATTGGTACCATTGCTTTCCCAATGAAAAGTTGGATATTCTGCAGTCCACAGTCCTGTATAAGTAGAGGCTTTGATATAAACGAATCATGCCATATTTCTTGATTCACCTTCGGGGGAGCTAAAAGTGAACAGTTTTCCGGATAGTCTATTGCATCCGCCAATTTCTTTCCCTTTTCTTGGTCAAAGTTCACATTTATTGAATTTTGTACTGCCGTGGCTAATGTCTCGTTTACTGGAGGGCCGTGGCCACATTCTTTTTTCCCATCAACTTTCGCGGAGAAATCTAGAAGCTTTTTCAATTTTGGGTCATTGTTTACATCCGTGTTTCTTACCGGATGTACCCCGTCTTGGACGGAATAATTATCATCTGACGAATTTCCTTCATCATCGTCGTCGTCTGACTGGATGCTTTCAGTGTTGTTATTTGGTCGTGGTGCATTTTCCACAAAATTAGTGAATCTTTCATTCAATGACGTCAGTATTCCAGAAATTTCTTGCATTTGTCTTTCATTTGAATCAAGGCGGGCATTCAAGGTTTTAATCTCGTCTCGATGATCTTTAGTTTTCCCCTTGGAAAAACCCGGCGTTGGTGAGGAAATTCCCACGCTAATATTGATGATGTGGGGTTCCCGTTTCCGATTGGTTTCCTCGTTTCCGGGTAGTGACGTAGCTGCGTGGTTCCGTACTGAAGCGTGGCGGGCTGTGCTATTATTGGATCGTTTGAGCACGTGATGTTGTCCACGCTAGTTTGGTCAGCGTGGGCAGCTTCTCCGCCATTTTTGTTCCAAACAAAGGAATTGTCAGTCTTTTGCTCTGATGCAAAAAAGGAAAGATCGAGAACGTAAACGACATTTTGCTCTGGCGCTATATGTCCGTTCTGGATCTCAGCACCATTAGTGCTCGCGCTTGGCGAAATGTTTCCGTTAGAAACGCCAGCCATAGTTATGTTGACCGTACGTTGGTCAAACAAAGAAAAAGTTCGAAAGTTTATTATAATCAGTTAAATTATAGAATTGAGTCAATAATTTTTTATCAAATCACACTTATATATCCTTCTAAACAATTTCCAAAAACTATAAAATCCGTTTCACAAATAAACAAGGAGAAAGAATTATTATTAAATAGAGTCTAATAGTCCGAGTGTCGCGTCCGAAAGTTAACTTGCTACTGAGGCTGATGAGCGTCTGGCGGTCACGTGTTACCTCATATAATTCTGATTGGCGAATGGGCACAACAGAATGAAAGCATTTCTGGGCCTTAATGGGCATTTGATAGTATATTTGTTGTGATATATGGTTTGCATTTTTTAATAGGGACGTCCGAGCCCTGAAGGTTAAGGTAGTTGAAATAAAACAACATATCTCTCGTCTCTGTGGTTCGAATCTCGCCAAGGATTTTAAATTCTTTCTGTTGAGGAAGCTATCAAGCTAACTAACACAAAGTCGTTGGTTTCACTCCCACCCTCTTGCACCTGAAATTATACACGAAGGGGCGCCTGAGGTCTTCTTCTACCTGAAAAACCTTAAAAATTTTATTGTCACCTTGATAGTGTTGGTGCGACGTACAGTCAAACCAAAAAAGAAATAATTTGATATACAGCAATTATAGTTTCATTACTCTTAGCCCACAAGCGGAGCTATTTGTGTTTACTATATTTTTGTCGGTTGACCCGAATTTTATCAATTAAACTTTCGATTTACAGCTAAAATAAATTCTTAATAAAGAATTCCTTCCGATTTCTATTATGTAAAGTAATATTTTTGTTTCCTCTTTGATGATTCGCAGCATGTCATATAAATGAATGGAAACAGGAACAAAGTTCATGCCTCAACCGCTGGGTAGGCAGTATAAAAGATAAAACAAAACGGTAATTTGTATCTTCTACGGGAAATTACTTATTATTTTGTACTACACAGTGGGTTATGTATGTATTTTATTGCTGTACATGAATTCGAAAGCTATAAAAAGATGACATGGCTTAACATTGTGAAAGTTTGAAATTCTATATATAGAAGTATTTTTTGTCTAAACGAAGCAATCATTCGTGACGCGCTATGGTAATAAATAACGAACAAGAGAATATTGAAATAAAATGCAAACATATTCAACAATAAATTGCACTCTTTGTTATTTTGATTTTTTTTCGTAGGTTCTTTCCGGTAAATTAAAAGCTCCTTGATTTTTGACGGCCCTTATTGCACATCTGACATTTTTTACCGTGAATATTTAAATCCACCCTGACTTCACGATTTTTGCTGTAACAAGTTGATATTATTTTGATTGAAGGCACTCGGTTTTATTGTGGTTTGAGTGGAATGTTGAATTGTCATATTGTGACATTTTAACAACAGAAACTTCCGTCTGCAGTTTTGATATGAGGTGTTAAGTTTTTATTGATAGGAATGTAATGGCACTGGTAAATCAGGCGAGGATGTTGAAGCAATTGAACGCAATAGTAGATTGATCTCCCAATAAAACAATTAACTATAGCCCTCTATTCATCACCAATGTCAAATAACTTTTATATCTTTGACTCTCACGAACATGATGTAAGTGACTTTCCTCATACTTTCTCTTATAACGGTGTTCCATTATATTGATATTTTTCACCATACAGCGTGTCTAACAAAACAAATTCTGAATTTTGGTCTTTTTAAAATTCATCCCAAATGTGTGTTCCACTTTCAGTATTAATCTGCGACATGAAATTTAACTAATGTATCTTAAGTCCCAGGTATAAATAGAAACCATTTTCTTTTTATCTGACATGAAAAACATACGTGTAATATAATTCTATAAGTCTTTTGTTACTATTTTTACTTACTGTTTGTAGATTTGTGACAATTATGATAATAAAAAAAACAGACTTTATTCATTTTGACTACTGTTTTGTACGTCTAAAGAAAAAAATTTTAATATTTTAATCTCTAGCAAGCCTACCAAAGTTCATGGTCAACAATGTCTTTCGTCCGCCCATTTATCTATAGTATACAATTCTAGTAAAATCTAATAAAAAATTGAAAAAGTTATAAGAATATCTGGTCATCAGATGCCTACTTGTTTATCATCATGTGCTGCATTTCTGACTTGGACGGTCTTTGATGCTTTGCATCAATGCTTTTCTTGTTATATCATAATATACCACTTGCCGCGAAAGAGCCGCGAAAGAGCCGCGAATGACATTTTGAATAAAGTATTTGTTTTGGCGTATTTACGAGGGACGGTCAGAAAATATCCGGACTTTTCATACTCTTCTCTTTCCACGTGCAGCTTTATACACACATTATATATTGGTGAAAACTACATTCATTCGCCGATAACGTGGTGAGTTTATTTTCAATGATAGTTGTGTATACACAGTATTTTGCCCTCTGATATATGATAGGCGTTTCGTCTATCATATACTCTTTGTTAGAGGAACAACGCTCTGTAATAAAGTTTCTGGTTGCAGGAAGTGAAAAGCCCTGCCACATCTTTCAGAGGCTTAAAAGAGATTTTCTGATAAATGTGTATCACGTTCAACCTTCTACAACTGGGTTTCTAAGTTTCATGAAGGCAGAACAAGTGTTTGTGACAGGCCTAGGACCTGGCGGCCAGCTGAGGCGGTGACCCAATCAATGGTAGCAAATGTTAAAGCTTTTGTCAACAAAAGTCAAGTCGTCGAGTAACTTTGGAGGAGGTAGCCAACAAGTTTAGCATCGGTAAGGCACCGGCACACAAGATTGTACACGAACATGAGCAAGGTAAGTGCCAGGTGGGTGCCTAGACAGCTGTCCGCAGATCAAAAGCCAACCAGAGCAACCAATGCAAAAAACATTTAAGTCGTTTTTATCGTGAAGGAGATAAGTTTTTGAACCGCATTATCACTGGAGATGAGATTCATTTTTCCGAACCTGAGACAAAAGCTCAGTTAAAGCAGTGGAAACGAGCTTGTTCCCCACCGCCTAAAACCTTCAAGCTGTCTTCTTTGGCTGGCAAAGTCATGCTTGTTGTCTTTTGGGATTCACGAGGAAAGATGCTTATTAATTTCATGCCAAAATGTCAAACTGTCACCGCCAAGTACTATTCTGAAGTAATTCTGAAAAATCTCAGAGAAAAGCTGAAGCAAATGCGTGCCAGGTTAGCACAGAAAAATACCCCCCTTCTTCACGATGACGCACCCTCCCATACCGCCGCAGCTACAGTAAAGGTTATCTCTTACAAATGGCAATTGTTGTATCACCCTCCTTATAGCCCCGAACCTCGTCCCCTGTGACTTTTATTTGTTTCCAGAACTGAAAAAAATGCTTGCTGGAAAGAAATATAAGACCAGGGCGGCTTTAATATCTGCTGTTACACAGTACCTAAAACATAGGTCTACGTCATTGTTCACAGCGGGAATACAAAAGGTCCCACGAAGATGGCAAAAGTGCGTAGACGTAGGTGGAGAATGTTTTGAAAAAGAGTAGAAGTTTTTTTTTTATGTTGAATGGTTTTCCTCGTACATATGGATTTTAATATTTCTTACCATGATTTGTTGTTGCTACTTGTAGAAAATGAGTAGCATGATACGTGAAAAAGAAAATGTACATGCTTTGATATCTTTTATCGTCTAATATTACTGACAAATGTAGTGACACAAACAGAACAATGTTCAACTACTGTCATGTCACATAAAATTAACAAGTCGTGTAAGTCTTTTTTTATTAGAATTACTTTCCTTACCAGGAAGGCATTAGGGAAAGCATTTTGTTTGTTTGTTATTTTTTATTTTAATATCTGGCCCCTCTCTCATTGACATTCTATTAATATAGTTTTATTCTGCAAATAAATGATATGCAAGGCATCTGGACTAATAAAATAATTGTAAAAGATCTGAATAGAATATGCCCTGTGCGTAGTAATGATATGGTAAGGTATCTGTAATGAGCGCGTTTATTTGCGCGGAGCTTCTCAGTTGCTCCACTGCAGAAACATTTGTTCTTGTTTTATTTTACATGTGATCATATTTGTCTTTGTTAATGACTATAATTTGCTGTTTAAAATTTAATGATATAACCACATACATATAATATGCCATGGAACTGAAACTTATCGCTAAAATTAATATGTTTTAGGAAAAACAACAACTGTGAAATTGTTTGATTTCGCCGACATGACTGTTCGTACATCATAAATAGAAAGTTCACGCAGACCAATATCATAAAACTATACTGCAAAATACTTTCTGAAAATTGATTCTTTCAAACACTTAATCGGTAAAATATCAGGATAATCATTTATTAAATATTGTGCTGAGCATTACCATGTATTATCTTATATGTTTATGTTTCAGTCAAAATAGTCATTTGTCAGGCAGTTTGTTTATATTTTGCAAAGTTAAAGTGAATAAAGCTTAATATTTTTACCTGAAGTTTTGAAAAAGAATAATACGAATATGTATAAAATATATATGTTGTTTTATTACATTTTGGGTGAATGACGCATGCACAAAATTATTGCTTAACCTTAGGAACCTTTT